GTGTCTTAAAAAATTGCCTTTGGAAGCCACGAAAGGGAATTGCCACAGTGAGATAGCTTTCGTCTCTCTTGCTATTCAGAAGGCTGATCTTGTTCATAGCTGGAGGGAAAGGAGAAAGTATGAATGGAGGTGAGTGGGAATATGTTCCTTGTGTCTCAGGACAATATAGTTTCACATCAGCTTGAAGGATAGCACAAATTGCAAAGGCAAGGCCTTTCAGAGGCTGAAAAAAAACCTTAGGCATGTCCAGTTAAGTTCTTAGTGCATATCTTTAAAAAGAAAATTAATACCAATGGATAGAAAATAACGTTACATTTTAAATATTCAGTCCTTTCAAGTGTATCTTGAAGACCATATAAAATCTTTTACTTTGAGAAAACATTAAAAGTATAAATTTAAATATTTTATAATAATGCAATTTAAAAAACTTTTATAAACACGTACTAAAAAGGTTTCTCTGATCAAAAAAGTTTTAAAAACACTGCATTTTACCACAGCCTTCTTGAAATTGACAGTACACAGTGGCATGTTAAAGGCTTCTAGAAGTCCTACAAGCACAGACACGTGTTTAACTTTGCTTATCTCATTGTTCCTCAAACCCAATGAATCACAACATCGTCTTTTTCAAATATATAGAAAAGTGAATCAAAACACACTTTGGGAAGTGTTGCTCTAGATAGATTAGTGTCCAATCTCTTCTTCTTTCTCAGTCTCTTCTCGCATGTGAGACAACTCTAGACTTCAAGCCATAGCTCCCCAACCTCTTTCTCAAGCTCCCCCAACCTCAACTCTAAAATACAACCCAGAACTTGGCAACAACTGGATCCGTTGCTAGGATATTGCAGTGGGTGCTGTACATCAGCTCTGATCTGAAGAGAATCCATGTACAGCTAAGAGAATAAACAGCTTAGTTCTCATTCCAGTTGGTTCTTAGTCTCCCCATAACACCAGCCAAAGTTACTGTTGGCTAAGTGAGGTCCCTGTTTTTTTTCTTTTTAAGTGGATTTCTTTCCATTAGAAACAGCACTGGCTGAGGCACCAATTAATTTTGCATAAGCTGCCACAGTACCATTAGATGCTAATCCGTTCATTCATAACCACAAGGTATTGTGTTAGGGTCATGTACATGACTTGTGCCTCCAGCCCTGTGGATTTATTTCGTGCTTAGCTGCTAGTTCCTGCAGCTGTGTCCTTTCAATGACTGCTTTATGGTGGCCAAGAGAGTTGAGGTCGGCTGCCAGGACTCTGAGATCTGGAGGACCACATGGACACATTATTCTTTTGCTCTGAAGCTATCCAATTCCTGTTCCGGTCAGTTGGGGAGATAGTGGGAGGATATATCTGAAGCAGCCCACCACTTACTGTTGATGATATTATTCACACCTGATACTATTGCAAAAGAACAGGCTTAAATGTCTCCACGGTGCATTCTTTAGTGGAAGGTTAATTAGTAACGAAAGGGTAATAATATAAAACATAATTCTCAATGTAGCTCCTAGCTTTATTTGTAGGAACTACTATGGAGCCATTATTTTCTTTACTCTAAAACTACACATTGGATTCAGGCTGCTTCAAACAAGAGGCCAGGCAAGAGGGCTTACTATGCTAATTGAATACTAATAAGGCCTTTGCTTAAGTTGTTTTGTGTTACAATTATTTGCAACTAGATTTCTTCTGTATTTATGCAGAAGGAAAAAAATACCTCAAGTGTAGCAAGATTTTTACATAGCCTGAATATTTGGAAGAAAGGATCTTGCCACTTTTTCTTGTGTACTTGTAACATTTGTAAAGGGTTTTGTTCAGCACTATGGAAAAGCAAAATACCATCATCATTATGACTGGCCTTTGTCCACAGTGGATCTCATCCAGACTAACCAGTGACTCTGTGACTAACAATCTGAGTCACTAAGTTTCATATGTTTATGTATTTCAACAGAGTTCTCAGGCTGAGAGTCTTTTTATTTCATATTTCAGGACTCAGAATAAAATGTCCTTTTGTATGTCAAATCTAGTGTCACTGAGTGACTGGTTCTGAGCAATTTAGTGCATCGATTAAATCGTGCCCTCAATAACAGAGTAATGTTGACAAAAGTTGAAGAATTAGTATATACTGTCAGGACAAAAGTCATTAGCCTGGTGGAGAATTCAGGTAAATATTCATATTTGCATTTTCATCATGGTAGTGGCACAAGATCATTTCAGAATTTAAAATGTGGGAAGCCTACAACTAAAATGGGATAAGGAGGATGACAGAAAAATGAAGTATATTTACTGGTTATTAACTTTGTAAGGATGTATATCTTTATTCTTATAGTTTCTTCAAAGAAATATCGACAAATGGCTGAGTTAAAAAAAAATCCTTTTTTATGGAAAATTCCATTCTTTTAATACTTCTCTCATTTTACTGTATCTATTCTCATACCAGTCCCAACTTGTCGCTAGATTATAACTGTCCCTGATTGATCGCCCTACACCCATCTTTAAGAGTCAATTACCCTGTCATTTTCACATCGGATGACTTTACAAACACTTGGTCACACATTTTCGCGGCATCTCAGATTAATAACACCTTACAGTTTTAGAGCAGTTTCGAAAGGGTTCTCTTGCACGTTATCTCATGTTAACCTCATTATCACATGCAGTCGAGCAGAAATGTATGGCTCCTCTTACAGATGAGAAAACTGAGGCACATTACATTGATTTAATTGGCTAAGGTCACATGGATTGTTACTAGAAAAATTGGAATCTTAATCCAAAGCTATTCTACTAGACGTATTAACAGATATTTGAGATTTAAAAAGAATTTCGTCTCTAAGTCCTCCAATGCAAGATTAAGAACAAAGCCTGGACAGATGAGTTGTTATTTTTGGCTATTAGTCCTTGTAAATACTATTTATAATACCAACTATTATATTGTATTAAATTAATGATGTCCGAAGTATAGAGATGTAATTAAAATGTTAGCAAAATATAAAGATAATAAAATTAATGCAATTTAAAAAAATGACGTATTCGCCATTCTGTACTTTTTGTAGCATGTCCTATATAGGTCTCTACATAGGCTATTCTTGAGTGTGCATTTATAAGATTGTTGCTGTTATCCAAGCAAGTTATATATTTTTTTCTTTGTGAACCTATTGGGTTTTACATCTAATGGCCTTTCCGAGAAAAGAAGATTTATCTACCATCTCCCTTCCATCTTCCACAGTGCCTGGGCAAGGCACACAGTTCCTTATTTGACATCTGAATAGCAGCTACATCTATAACTTATTTTGAAGTCCCATGCCCCTGATCTGGCTAATCACTCACACCAGCCTCTTATGGGTAAGTTTGATTTTGCAGCGATAAGATGGTCAAGTGGGACATCTGGAGGCATGAATCATCAACCACCTGCATCACACTCACCTGAGTGTCTTCCCAGTGCAGGTTCTTGAGTCCCACTACACAGCTACTCCACCAAAGTGAGCAGGGTAGAGCTCCCCAGAGATTCTTCTGAACCCTAAAGTTGTATCATCCAGAGTGATACAGCACTTTTCAATTCTTGGAATTTTAGTGACATTGGGTATGAGTGAACATGGTTCCTGGGCTTGGTCTTTGACAATAAAAATAGAAGATGGTCCTTCACCTTTGGGAAAAGAGGTGAGAGGCAGACTGTAAAATGGCCCCAAACAAGGACCTCTGATAACACTGAGAGAAAATGTTTACCTGTGCGCTAGGAAATAGCTTGTAGAATGGGGTACCCCATCTGAGCGATCCACGGAGCTGTCTTCCCTCCACTGAGCTGGCATTTAGAAAAGACTAAGACCAAACGATGTCAAGCAGAGCCAGAGACCGAGTCTGGAGGACTAATATTTTTCCAATCTAGAGAGACATTAACTTATCGATAACAATTTGCCCCTCAACCCAGGCGAAAAATCAACATTCCTTTTCCTGCCCTGTGTCAGAGCCCGAAGACGAACAAAATCATCTTTTGGGGAGGCCTGAGTCTGACAGCTGTGTGCAGCGCAGGCCTTCAAACCCAGAGCAGGGCTGCAAAGGGTGTGGCAGGGTAGCGGAGGAATAAATACAGACATAAAGGGAAGGCAGGGCCCTGGATAAACGGACAAAGGCCCAGGACATTCAGCTGGGGAAGGCTGGGATTAAAGGTTGAATGAACAAAAGATTCAAAAAAGGATGTCTAATCTGAGGAGAGTGATTGCTTTAAACTGCAACTCGAAACAATGAAATCCCACCATATGTTCTTACAAAAAGTGGTAAAGCAGATAATTTGTAAAAATCGCTTCCTCTCCTTTTTTCCCCCCTTGCCGAATGCAGTTAAGGAAAGGCCCTCTTTCAAAGCCCAGCTCCTATAACCGCGGTCCCGTCCGAGGTAAAAGCCATCGCGTGGCTTTCAAACTCCGGGTTTGGCAGTTCGAGGATTTAAAAAACACAACCGGAGTTTTCGTGCACAGTCCTGCTTCGAGAAGCGCAGGCTCCTGCACAGATTCACTCGGGATACAGAGTGCATACAAATTAGCAGGAAGAATTTAACGACATCGTTTGCCTGCAAGCTGGGACGACAGACTTAGGGAGGCAGGGGACCAGGGAACGCTTTCTCTTCCCGTACGCATCGAGCCGCGGGCGGCTTCGTTCTCCCGAGTCGCAGCTGGACGCGGAGCAGGCGTGGTCCGGGGCTGGAAGGCGGGCGGCGGCGAGGGACGCGCCCGGGGCCTGCGCTCAGGTGGAGCGGGCGCTGCTCCGCAGCTGCTCCCCACGTCCCCGCCCCGCCAACCCGCTCTGGGAGGGGGGCGCCGTGGCGGAGGGGCGGGAGCCCCGCGGGCACCTG